AGCAGCAGTCAAGAGATCAAACGACGTATTGCATTAGGCAAATCTGCTGCACAAGACCTTCTTAAAGTGCTGAAGAGCAAAGATGTCAGCTTAAGGACTAAGGTGCGCCTGACCCAAGCCATGGTATTTTCAATAACCTCATATGCATGCAAAAGCTGGAGAGTGAATAAGGAAGACCGTAGAAGAATTGATGCATTTGAGTTATGGTATTGGAGGAGAATATAGAAAGTGCCATGGGCTACCAAAAGAACCAACAGATCTGTTTTGGAAGAAGTGTAGCCAGAGTGCTCCTTGAAGGTCAAGATGGCCAAACATCATCTCTCATACTTCGGACATATTGTCAAGAGGGACCAGTCACTGGAGAAGAATATCATGTTTTGTAAGGTGGAGGGTCAGAGAAAAAGAAGAAGACCCCCAATGAGATGGATTGGCCAAGTGGCAGCATCGATGGACTCAAGCATGGCAATAGTAGTAATATATATATATATATATATATATATATATATATATACACACACACGCTTACGTTTCAATACTTACCAATGCCAAGTCATCCCGACCATAGTCTAGAGCTGCAATCATCACTTGTTCATATATGATCCAAACTAGATATATAGAAAGAAATTGAACTTAATAGAAAATTCCATAAAATAAAAATATTTGCAAATTATTCTTGTTCTTTCATATATTAAAGAACATAACACCTCATTGAAAACTGAGGTACTGAATTATTTCTGGAATTAAGGAAAGAAAGCATCCCTAGTGGCACAGTGCTAACAAAAAGCCAATAGTTCAAAACTACCAGTAATTTCACAGAAGAACAATTGGCAGTCTGCTTCCAGAAAGACTTTAAAGTCTTGGAAACCATATAGAGCAGTTCTACTCTGTCCTGTGGGGTTGCTATGAGTTGAAATCAACTTCGATGGTAGCAGGTTTGGTTTTTGGCATTATACGTTTTCAGCATTGCAAAATATTTTAATATCCTGCAAAGTAAAAACTTAACAATAATACCTTTGTTATTCTAAAAAGCTTCTTCATGAAATAATTTTGGCCAACCAGACATGTGGCCGTGTAAACATGAAGCAAAGATTGTATTAGATAGCTTCACTACTGCCAGCAATTACAAATCCTTCACAAGATTTATCATTAAATTCTGAAACATGAAATTACAAGCAGATTGAAATGAAAGTAGGAAAAACATTATTCATAAATATGCAGTTTAAACTAAAAAACACAAAAACAAGTGACAAACAAAAATGCAGGTAATAATAATAGACAAGATAGCTGAGTCTGAATACAATAAAGAAATTAAGAAGAACTTACTATCATCTCCAAGCTTAGAGGCATATTCACTAATCAGCTCTTCTCCAACTTCTACAATTTGCTCACTGTTTCTGGAATTTTCTTCTCTCCATTTTCTCATTTTATCTCTCATTTCTGGCAAAATAAAGTAAGTATATCTGATCAATGGCAAACAAGACACAAGATAAACTTTTAAGGTGAAGAAAATACACTCAAACCAATGAAGATGACAGCTTAAGACAAACTGACAAAAGTAGAAAGTCAATTTAATAAAGCACAACAGATCCTTTAGCAGATAGAAAATTCATTTCAATAAACAAAAAATGACTCGCTATCCCTTTAAGCACATTGGATCTTAACTATCTTATGGACAGTTACCTTATGGATCTTAACTTAAACAGAGGAAGTAAATTACCAATATAACTAGTCCCCTGGGGAGGGGGGGGGTAAATAAATACAAGAGAAGCACAGATCTTTCACTGTTTACAGTGTCCCAGATTACTTTCAGGATAAAAGGTAAAGCTTATTTCCCCAGATAACAAAGTTTGCATTAAAACCTCAAAATATTCAAGGTGCTTAAATCCACCCACTGATGCAGGATTATAAAAATTAGATATAATATTAGACTATTAGCACCAAAGGGATATTCATAACAAAACTCCTTTGTAGCAACAGTATTATTACAAAGGAACAAAAGATATATAAAGATACACTACCAGGTACAGAAAAACACAGGAAGCAAATCAGAACAAGAGAAATATTTTGTGTGTATCTGTATATAAACAGATGTTGTTGCTAAAGCGCTGTGGAGTCAGTTCTGACTCATAGCTATCTTGTAATTGGTTTTCCAAGGAATAGCTGGTAGGTTTGAACTGCCAACCTTGTGGTTCACAGACCAGTGTTGATCCTATAGCACCATACCACGAGTCTCTATATATAATATATACATATAATAAAGAAGAAGGCCAGAAAACAATTCAATATAATAGGGAATGGTGGAAGCCTTAATTACCATTGATAATAACAAAAATAAGTTATTCTAAAATAGTACCTAATCCAGTAAACATTTTTTTTTACACAATTAAGATCCAATGAACTGATTCACCAATCATACACATGCCTTGTTACTCCTCTGACTCAAAAAGCTTATATTCATACTTATCTGAAATACCACCTTCTCCTTTCTACAGTAACAGATGTTGATGAGAGTTAAATCATTGAATTAAATAGTTGTTAAACTGATGAATTAAACAAGCAATGTGCTAGGTCCCTAAGGAAAAAAATAATAAGAGAGAAGCACAGACAATTTTTCACTATTTTTATATATACTATCTGAGCCCTTGTAATTCAAAGTTTGGAAAAGAAAAGTCCTCAAAATCTGAAAGTAGACTCTCAGTGAACTTACAAAAACAGTCTTAGAGAATCATTACAAATTAACATGCAGTTAATTCCTTCTTCTGCACCCCAGGAAAACAGCTTGCCTCTCATTCTGCCTAGGAAGTCTCTTTGAAGTGAGCCTTACAGGCTGAAGAGTAATTCAGGAGGCAAACAAGAAAGAAAGTTATTCCACACAGAAGAACTTCTCATAATTCAGTATTAGAGAAACAGTGTAACCACAAAAGGAATGGAGAGGGAGTTAAAAAGAACACATTATAAGAGAGCTATTGTTTCATAGTAAAACAAATTTGAAGTCTATTTTTGAAAGTGCTAGAAAACAAGTAAAGATTATTAAGCAAAAGAAAAAGGGGGGTGGGGAGAACATGTTCAAACCTGCAAGTTAGAAAAAAAACATTCTGGTGATAGAAAGATGGCTAGATTGATAGATAGATGATACAAACAAACCCAGAAGATAAACTGGAAAGAAGTAAAAGACATCAGTCAAGAAAGATGTACAGTCTAGTGGAAAGAACATGGACTTCATACAACTTAGCAAACATGTGCTTTATTTGTCCTACCTGTGAATGGAGTCCTGGTGTGGTGCTGTTGTCTAATGCATCACACTACAAAGTCATTTGAACTGCAAGGTCGGTGCAAGCTCACCAGCTGCTCCTTGGAAACCCTATACAGGGTCACTAAGGGTCGGAATCGCCTCGATGACACTTCACAATAACAACAACAACAACAACGAACGAACGCATGACACACTGACCACCACTCATCTGTTAGTTTGTCATACTGTGGTGGCTTGTGAGTTGCTGTGATTCTGGAATCTATGCCATGGGTATTTTAAATACCAGCAGGGTCACCCACAGTGGACGGGTTTCAGATGAGTGTCCAGACGAAAACAGACTAGGAAGAAGGAGAGATGAACTACTTCCAAATATTTAGTCACTAAAAACATTAAGAATAGCAGAGAAACACTATTAGATATAGTGCCGGAAAATGAGCCCATCAGGTTAGAAGGCACTCAAAATTCAACTAGTGAAGAGCTGCCTTCTCAAAGTAGAGTTGCCGTGAAGATGCAAATGGAGTAAAGCCCTGGGGACCTTCATTTGCTGATGGGGCACAACTCAAAATGAAGAGAAACAGCTGGAAATATCCACTGATAATCGGAACATGGAATGTATGGAGTATGACTCTAGGAAAACTGTAATAGGAGATTTGTAATAAAGAGTAAATGAAATATATATAAAACTCTCAGCAAAGTTTCTAGCACAAAATGGGAACTCAGTAAACATTAGCTTCCCTCCTTGCTAGTAAAACCATCTAAAGAAATACAAAAATTACACAATGACTATAAAAACAGAATAAAGCAAGAAAGCTGATACAAAAAAATTACAAATGATTTATGGGTGCGGGGCAGGGAACAGATGGAAGTGATTCTAAATGACTGGTGGAGTGGCAGCAACACAGTTTTTCAGAATCTCTAACTACTCACAATCAATCTCAACTAGAGACACAGACAGTATTTACAATAAACCTAGTTGTATAAAGGATTCCCATACACCGTAGATAAACCAAGTCAGGGTGAATCACAAACAGCTACATGAGATGAATGGTAGGATCTATGTGGAAGAAAGCTAAAGGAAGAAACAGGTGGCATCTGATAGACCCAGCAACAGAAGAGCCAACACCACGAGCGGATCTGCAAAAAGCACCTAAAATAGGAGAGAATTTGACATCAAAATGGGCTGGACCAGTTCAGAGCCTATGTGAACTCTGAAAACTGAACCAGTAAGGGTTTGCTTTCGTTAGTTGTTATTGTTATTAAATGCCATCCAGTTGGTTCTGACCCACAGTGACCCTCTATAGGGTTTCCTAGGAGCGGCTGGTGAGCTTGTGGTCCAAACCAACTTTGTAGTCCAGCGCATTAACCCACAGTGTGACACCAGGACTCCAGCTTTCCTTTGTGTTGTTAAGTGCCACTGAGTTTGTTCTGACACATAGTTACCCTGCATAGAGTTTCCAAGAAGCAGCTGGTGAGCTTGAACCGCTGAACTTGCAATTCAAACTGACTTTGCAGTCTAGCACATTAACCCACAATGCTACTCCAAATTGAGAAGCTGTTGGAAGTGCAATACAAATTCAGCAACACAGATACAACAAGAAGAGGTACAGAACCAACAAATCTCATAAAATGAGTCATATTTCTTAACACTATACAACAAATACAACTGAAGAAAGAGCTCTCAGAAAGGTTTTTTTAATTCACTGAATACCACACCTCATCTAAGTTTCAAGAAAACTAAAATCATATGAAATGAGTAACAAAGAAGTACTGAGGTAAAATCCCTTATCAAGTTATTGAAAGATAAGAGAATAAAGAATAGAATATTACAGTCACTGAAAGCATACTACAAAGACAAACCCACAAAACAGATCAAAACTGTAATCTACTGTTTCAAAATCAGCTAAGGAAATTAGGAAAATAATACAAGACATGAAATTACAACATTAATCTAAATGTGAAGCTTCTGAAGTTAGTAGTTCTAAGAACTCAGCAAGGGATCAGAAATAAAAGAAAAACTTTTATTTTTTAATTTTAGAAATTAAAGCTAACCTAATAGGAAACGAAGCATAAATAAACACAGAAGATGAAAGAAGAAAACTTTTGAAATGCAAAAGTAATAAAGAGATACAAAAGGGTTTGAGAATGTGACAAATATCGAAGAAAGGCAAAGAATACCCAACATACTGAAAAAGGAATTATTCCCTAAGAAGAAAACAAAAGCAAAGGAATAGGACAAATACTAAAAACTACAATCCAAGAAAATTCTGATATAATAAAAAAGGTTTAAATATACTTACTGAAAGAACATACAATACACTGAGAATATTACCTAAGAAAGACCAATGCCAAGGGATGTTCTACTAAATTACTAGACTTTGAAAAAGGGGAGGGGGGGGGCGGAGAGTGAATACTTTGAGTATCTAAAGAGGGGGGGGAAGAGTAGTTGACTTACAAAGGAAAGAAAATTAGATGATTATTAGACTTTTCTATGACAGTATTTTATGCCAGAAGAAACTGGAATAACATTTAAGACACTCAAGGAAAGAAAGTGAAAGCCAAAGATTTTATATCCAGCTACAATCAGTTCCAAGTATAAAGTACTCAAATTGTGATCAACATGCAAGAACTTAGGAAATAAGGACTCCATGTCTTCTTCCACAGGAATCAACTAAATGGTAGGTTTCAAAAAACCCACAATAACTTATAAACCCATTGCCATCAAATTGATTCCAACTATAGCAAACCTATAGGAGGGTGAAAGAGCTCCAGAATTTACAAAAATAAAATCTTTACAGAAGCACAATGCCATATCTTTCTTCCATGGAGTAGGCAAGTGGGCTTAAACCACAGACCTTTTAGTTACCAGCTGGGCGTTTAACCAATCTGCCAAGAGGGCTTCTTAAAATGACTTAAAAGAAACTAGCAAGAACTTCTAAATGTTCATGAAAAAATGGAATTGAAAGGTAATGTAACTATTTAACAAATTTTTTGAAGTATCCATAGAACTAAGAAGAGATAATGGCTAAGGAGAGGGCATGCTTTTAGCTCTGGCTAAAACACAACTTCTTAAAAGAAATGGATGCTGTGGGACTTAGTGTTTATCAATAGGTTATCAAATATAGCAAACATCTAGACCTCATAAAGGTTAAATAATTTTGTACATTAAAAGTATTGTATCAGGGAT